CTGTAGAGTGTGGAGTGTAAACTGTAAAGTAGAAAGTGTGGCGATGTGTGGAGTGTAGAGTGTAGAGTGTAAAGTGTAGAGTGTAAAGTGTAGAGTGTGGAGTGTAAAGTGTGGAGTGTGGAGTGTAAATTGTGCAGTGAGGAGTGAGGAGTGTAAAGTAACGTGTAAAGTATGGAGTGTAGAGTGAAGAGTGTAAAGTGTAGAGTGTAAAGTGTAGAGTGTGGAGTGTAAAGTGTGAAGTATGGAGTGCAAAGTGCAAAGTGTAAAGTGCAAAATGTGGAGTGTAAAGTGTAGAGTGTAAAGTGTGGAGCGTAAAGTGTGCAGTCAGGAGTGAGGAGTTTAAAGTGTAAAGTGTAAAGTCTGGAGTGAAGAGTGTCGAGTGGAAAGTGTAGTGTGTAAAGTGTAGAGTGTGGAGTGTGGAGTGTAAAGTGTAGAGTCTAAAGTGTAGTGTGTAAAGTGTAGAGTTTGGAGTGTGGAGTGCAAAGTGTGGAGTGTGGAGTGTAAAGTGTAAAGTGCAAAGTGTGGAGTGTAGAGTGTGGAGTGTAGAGTGTAAAGTGTAAAATGTAAAGTGTAGAGTGTGGAGTGTGAGGTGTGGAGTGTGGAGTGTAAAGTGTAAAGTGTAGAGTGTAAAGTGTAGAGTGTGGAGTGTAAAGTGTGGAGTGTGGAGTGTACAGTGTAAAGTGTACAGTGTAAAGTGTAACGTGTAAAGTATGGAGTGTAGAGTGAAGAGTGTCGAGTGTAAAGTGTAGAGTGTAAAGTGTACAGTGTAAAGTGTAGAGTGCTGTGTGTATGTCTGTCTGTGTCTGTGTCTGTCTCTGTATGGGAGGGAGGTGACAGTTGGCTACGCGAGGTTACGGGGAAGCATGGGAGCAACTTTCTGCCATTTAGCGGCCCTTCGGTCGGCTATTGAATTTCTCTTCTGGGATCTTCTTTGGGATCCTGGAACAGCCGCTGCACGAAAAGCAGAAGGTCTTTGCGAATGCTTGCTGAACGACAGATACACAGAGCATAAAGCGCAAAGAAAAAAACGCTGCCCGAGCATTTGTTTGGAGGCTGGCTTTCGTCCCCCCCCTTCTCAGGTATATATGTATATGTATATGTATATGTATATGTATATGTATATGTATATGTATGTATATATATTTATATTTATATATATATATATACGTCCAATTTCTGTGTGTTTCTGTTGCTAAAACAGCGTGGGTTTGCTCAACTGGTCTGTTGGATCACTGGTACCCTGATTTTAAAAATTTGGTCACACGATATCACATGCAAAAATCAATGTGATGCCAGAAGTCAGCCTTGTCCATTTTTGTTTGCTGGGAGGCAGTACCGGAAGCGCTGCGAAAAGGAATTCATGTCGTCATTTTCAACCAGCGCCGTGGAGACCAACTGGACCTGGCCACCGGAAAGTTTCCAACGCGACAATTCACACTTGCTGAACAAAGGTGCCCTAAAGGTAAGTTATTTGGAGCAAAATAGTGAATTATGGTTTTGGAGGTAACTTTCTAACATTAGGTTTTTTTGAAGGGTAAATTTCTAAGTCGTTTTTCAGCCTTTTAGCTAGTTTTCAATAGCACTGCGTATTTCAAGATTATTTTTAAAGGTAAAAAACATTTCCAAAATAAAATTGAAATTTTGGCCTTTTTTGGAAACAAGAATGTGGGTATCTAAAATTTTGAACCTTGTACAGCAATGACATGATTATTGCAAAGAGAATTAAATTAAATGTCTGTTACAAGATTATTTTTGTCATTGTGTGTAAAGTTAGTTGTACTTGTTACATGGAAATGCATTAAATTATACTGATTGAATTCATTCTTGTTTCAAAAAGGACAATGTTGAGTGTATTCAATGTTTTTTGGTTTAAATTTTGCATCATCTTCCTTAGGCTCCTCCTCTTCTCCTTTTGCATCGTCATCCTCCTCTGGCTCAGCCTTAATCTTTTTCCACCCCACTGCCATTTGCTTGCCAGTCTTGGCCTTGGCGTTGGCTTTCGCTCTTGGGTCAGGAGCAGGTGGAACTGCTGCAGGTTCTTTCAAAACCTTCATGGCTTCGTTCTTGGCTTTCGCTTTTGCTGCCTTCTTTGTCTTAGACGTAACACCAGGAGCTTTCTTGGCGACAGCCTTGACTTTAGCCTTTGCCTTCATCTTGGCTTTGGCCGTTGCTTTTGGTGTGGCTTCAACTGAGTCTGCTCCTGGTGCAGCTTCTGTGCCAGCTGCTTCAGCTGCTGCTAGTGCAGCTTCATCCACATCTTCAGACTCAGATGCTGGGAAAGCTAGCAAAGGTTGAGGTGAATCAGCGGGCCTCTTCATCAGAGGTGGAGCCATTAAAGGATTTTCGCTTGAATGTGGGTTTCAAAAAGACGGTGATTCCAAGCCCTTTTTCGTGACTCTGGTTTAAAAAACAAAACCTTTGTGAAACCCCCATTCAAGGGAGGGCCGCGGTTCTGGGCCGCGGCCTTTTTCCTGTAAATTTCTGTGCAATGGCTCTTGTGACATGTTGATGTGCATTTCGACTTTGCAGGCTCGCACAAAGTGTGGGCCGCGGTTCTGGGCTGCGGCCTTTTCCTTGCAAATTCCCGTGTAAAATGGCTCTTGTGAAATGTTGATGTGCATTTCGACTGCGCAGGCTCGCACACAGCGTGGTCCCCGGTCTTGGTCGGCGGCATTTTACCTGTAAATAGTTTCCGGTCTCATCATCACCATCACCATCACCATCACCACCACCACCATCATCATCATCACCATCATCATCGTCATCATCATCATCATCTTCATCTTTCTCAGCATCATGATCCTCCACCTTCTCATCCTCCACTTCCTCTTCCGCAATATCATCCTCCTCCTCATCCTCCTCAACATCATCATCCTCAAACTCATCATCCTCAACATCATCCTCCTGCACCTCACCATCCTCAACATCATTATCCTCTACACCCGTGTGCACAACATTATCAGTCTCATCATCACCATCACCATCACTATCACCACCACCACCACCATCATCATCATCATCGTCATCATCATCATCATCGTCATCATCCTCAACATTATCCTCCCATTCCCCCACACTGTTTGGGGTCTCTTGCCGGGATATTTTGTAAAGAAAGTCCCAGAGTCACGAAAAAGGGTTTGGAATCACCATTTTTTTTTAACCCACATTCAAGGCAAAATTCTTTAATGCCTCCACCTCTGATGAAGAGGCCCGCTGATTCACCTCAACCTTTGCTAGCCTTCCCAGCATCTGAGTCGCAGAAGATGTGGATGAAGCTGCACTACTGTAGCAGCAATTGAAGCAGCTGCCCCAGAAGTTTGCACAGAAGCTGCACCAGGATTAGACTCAGTTGAAGCCACGCCAATGCCAAAGGCCAAAGCCAAGATGAAGGCAAAGGCTAAAGTCAAGGCTGTTGCCAAGAAAGCTCCTGGTGCTACTTCTCAGCCGAAGCAACAGCCAAGAACAAAGTCATGAAGGTTTTGAAAGAACCTGCAGGAGTTCCCCCTGCTCCTGACCCAAGAGCGAAAGCCAACGCCAAGGCTAAGACTGGCAAGCAGATGGCAGTGGGGTGGAAAAAGATTGAGGCTGAGCCAGAGGAGGATGACCATGCAGAAGGAGAAGAGGAGGAGCCTAAGGAAGATGATGCAATAGTTGAGAAGGTTGGAAACTGTTTCGTTGCCAGCTATTTTTCATGCTTGCCATAATCTTGTTTCATTACTTTTCCGACTCTTCCTCATTGTTGCCATGCTCTTGTTTCATACATTGCGTCAGTGTCCCAGACGCTACCTATCATCAGATCATTTGACCCAATCCAAGCGTCAGAGAAAAAACATGCTACCTTTCCAAAATATATAAATGAAGTGAACCCATTGCATATGTCAGCAGCACATATATAGTAACCCCAGGGGAACATCAGACACATATCTGGAAAAAAGGAGAGAAAACACACCTAAATATATGTTCAACAAAATTAAATGACATTAAAAAACAACATTGAAAATTACCCCTTAAATTTAGCCTTCAAAATTTAATTTCAAAGTTTTTAAAACCTAAATAGTTCACTTAACAACACCCAAATTACCTTCACAAATGTTTTAATATAAGAGCTAACTATTTTGCTCCAAATAGCCTTGACTGACCCATAGGGCGAACATATTCCGAAAGCCGGCCGAAAAAGTTGGTCCGTGTCATCCACGCAATCATGAAGTCCAGCGACTTAAAAGCAGGCATCTGAATCCAAGCGGCATTATTTCAAGGGTGTTCAGAGCACTTGGCAGATAGGGCGTCAAACGGGGCCTTTTGTCTTTGTAGATCAAACCGAGCCGCAATCATGGGACAAGCTAGACCTTTGTTGTGTAAGGCCCCCAGGCCCTGCGCCGACATAAAACACGTTCCGTTGCACAGAGCAGTATGGAAGGTTAAAAAGAGTCAGCGGCAGTGCTGACAAGAGAACAGCACTGTGGCCCCAAGATTCCCCTAGCGGCCCTAGCGCTTGCATTGACTGTTTGCAGGCTCTGACTCAATGATCTCAGTCATGATGTTTGCGCAAGTGTTTGCGCTATTTTGCACTCCTTCCATCGAGCATGCAAATTGAAACACGGACGAGTAGCACCTCTGTTTTCAGGCATTTTGTTCTGTTGGTACTTCCCTTCACTGCCACTAGTTAAATCAGCTGAACAACCAGGTTTGTGAGAGCGGTATCCAGCCGGCAACGGCACTTTCCAAGTTTTCAGGGACGGACCAGCGAGGGCATAGGGTCCCCAAAAGAAGGCCGCTTCGCTTCTGAGATGCAGCAGTTTGAGATGAGTTGCATCGCATCCGCCTTGGCATTTTGGCACCAGCTGTTCCAGATAACACTCATTACTCCAATCCTAAATGGGAAATGATTGGAGAACTGTGAGCCTTTGAACATGCTGCACATCGGAGTGGAATGCAAGGTGCTTCATCCACATGGACCCATACACACAACCAGAGGTCTAAGCGCACCTCCTTCATAATTGGCCGGTTCTACGCGCCGCGTGTCACAACTGCCATGACCAAGGCCTCTGACAAGGCCTTTCAAGACTGATAATTAGATGATATTGGGTATCCCTGCAGATTACTTAATATAGGTGCAATTTCTGGGCAAAGTTTGGTGATGTTCCAATATGCTGTTTTAGCTTTTCAAGGTTTTCATGATATGCCTTGCCGTGGCATTGACTTCACATAGGAACCCCTGATAAAGGATGATAAAGGAACCTGTCTGCCATGACACATCACAGACCAGGAAATGCATCTTGCAAGGTCTCCGGGCGGTGTCCTTGCCAAACCACTTGTGATGCTAAATGCTAGTGCTGTGTGATGCCCTGCTTGTCAGTTAAGCCATCACCAAATGATTCAAATGATTCACCATCGGGTAAAAGTGATACCCACCGAGAAGGTCAGGCAGAAGCAGTGCAGTGCAAAATCTCCACTTCGTAAGTAAAGCTGGCTGGGAACTTCTCCAACCACATCTCCGAGCAGGTCTTAGGGAGGATGCGAACTGCCAAAAGAGCGCCACCAAAAGCTTGGGCAAAGGTTGTAGCCTCAGCAGTTTTGATTTAGTGCCTAATTAATTGGATTGAATTATGAAGCAATTGAAGTAACCATGGATGGTTGGTTCACAATGTCAATGTTGGTTGATGATTGGGCCATCCGATCAATTTGCTTGATGCTTGATGTGTTTTCTTTCTGCAGGCCAAGGATGGTGCCGAGAAAGTGGACAAGCAGCCAGATGCCGCTTTTTGGTCCCATGCATCCATGTAGCAATGGCAACAAGAGAGATATCTTGAGACTACCTTGGCGTGGGCAGCTTCCGGCACCCGCCGACTGGAGGCCAGCGGCAAGTCTCGAGGACGGGATGGATCAAAATTGTGGGACCACATGGGGCCACCAGAAAGGTCCAAACATTTTAATCATTTTAGATGTTCCCAAGATGTGCGTGTTTGATTCTGTTTTCCATGTTTCCTGACATTGAAAGGTACAGGAAAAAAAGTGTTGGGATGTTTCAACATGTTTTAAACCGAATATTGTGGAGTTCACTAGATGGTTGGTCATCACGTGGTCCTTTGAGCACTTTGGGTCTTAAGTGCGGGCCAATGCCCCCCAAAGAAAATTGTCACTGGGAGGCAAGCAAAATTGTTTCATACGGTTTGATACAGGTCTTATACATGTGCAACTTGGTCTAGTATTTGGGGACATCAACGAGGCACTGGTAGAAGTGGTGGCCAGCCCTGGCGCACACAGACTGAGATCCCAGTCGCAACACCCCAATGATGCCCGCATGTTTGGAGGAATAATTCATTACGAAAGTTACGGGGATCCGAGTATTCACTACGACGCCTTTCATTTTACTACCCACCCCCTTCCCCCCACTAAATAGACCTTTGAGATTTTTATTCCCTTGAATAGTGCATACCTGAGATATGTTTCGGACTTTTGGTTGAGCAATCAATGTGCTTGGTGTGTTTGCTTTGGATTTGGCTTTGAGCAGTCCACGCTCGTTGTTTTTGTCGGTTTGGGTGGTTTGCAGGGATTGCGGTCATTCACGGTCCTATTTCCTAGTCGACTTGGGCGGTTCTAGTGTTTCTTTTTCGCCGGTGGCGTCTGAGAAAATCATCCGGCTTCGAATGGATGAAACAAACACAAGTACAAAAGACATCAAAAGACCCTGGATCGGACCGTTGGTCGTGTGATTTTTAGTTCTGCCCATCGCACGTTCTCTTGAAATCGGTACACCCCTAGGTCTCCCTTCAAAGAAGAGAAAAAAAAACATAGATTTCTGACACAGGCCCCATGTGACCTGATTTTCATACAATCCTTTTTCCCGAGAGCGCCTGCGAAGGGTTCTTCGTAAAAAAGCAGCCGTTATACTACATCTTCACACCTTCACATCTGCTGATCTACATTCTGCTGATCTACATCTTCACACCCTCACATCTGCTGATCTACATCTTCACACCCTCACACCTGCTGATCTACATCTTCACACCTTCACATCTGCTGATCTACATCTTCACACCCTCACACCTGCTGATCTACATCTTCACACCCTCACATCTGCTGATCTTCTTCACACCCTCACACCTGCTGATCTACATCTTCACACCCTCACATCTGCTGATCTACATCTTCACACCCTCACACTTGCAGATCTACATCTTCACACCCTCACACCTGCAGATCTAGATCTTCACACCTTCACATCTGCAGATCTACATCTTCACACTTTCACATCTGCAGATCTACATCTTGACACCCTCACATTTGCAGATCTACATCTTCACACCCTCACACCTGCAGATCTACATCTTCACACCTTCACATCTGCAGATCTACATCTTCACACCTTCACATCTGCAGATCTCCTCTCGCTCTTCTTTCTATTCTCTCTTAAGGCGGGGGCGGTGCCGCCGGAGCGCCACGAAACGCAACCCTTTCGCACGAAATCGACGTTGGACGTCAAAAACTGAGGAAAAATTGCGATTTAACTTGTCCCGCGGCAACCCTTTCACACGAAATGGACGTTGGACGCCAAAAACTGAGGAAAAATTGCGAGTTTACCCCGTCCATCGCGACCCTTTCGCACGAAATGGACGTTGGACGTCAAAAACAAAGGAAAAATTGCGAGCTTGAGGTGTCGCACGCAACCCTTTCGCACGAAATGGACGTTGGACGTCAAAAACTGAGGAAAAATTGCGAGTTTACCCCGTCCATCGCGACCCTTTCGCACGAAATGGACGTTGGACGTCAAAAACAAAGGAAAAATTGCGAGTTTGAGGCGTCGCGCGCAACCCTTTCGCACGAAATGGATGTTGAACGTCAAAAACTGAGGAAAAATTGCGAAAAAAGGTGTCACTTGCAACCCTTTCGCACGAAATGGACGTTGGACGTCAAAAACTGAGGAAAAATTGCGCTTTTGAAGTATCCATCGCAACCCTTTCGCACAAAATGGACGTTGGACGCCAAAAACTGAGGAAAAATTGCGATTTCACGGGTCCGGTTTTTATATGTGAAAGTATTTGTGTGTAAAGGAGTTTCTGTATGTGAAAGTTTCTGTGTGTAAACGTCTTTGTGAGGAGTCTGTGTGTAAAAGTGTCTGTGTGTAAAAGCGTTTGTGTGTAAAAGGGTCTAAAAGTCTCTGTGTAAGCGTCTGTGTGTAAAAGCGTCTGTGTGTAAAAGCGTTTGTGTGCAAAAGCGTCCGTGTGTAAAAGCGTTTGTGTGTAAAAGCGTCCGTGTGTAAAAGCGTCCGTGTTTGTGTAAAAGCGTCTGTGTGTACAGGAGTTTCTGTGTGTAAAACCCTCTGTGTGTGAAAAATCTCTGTGTGTGAAAGCGTCTGTGTGTAAAAGCGTCTGTGTGTAAAAGCGTCTGTGTGTAAAAGCTCTTGTGTGTAAAAGCTTCTGTGTGTAAAAGGGTCCGTGCGTAAAAGCGTCTGTGTGCAAAAGCGTCTGTGTGTAAAAGCGTCTGTGTGTAAAAGCTTCTGTGTGTAACATGGTTTGTGCGCAAAAGTGTCTGTGTTCTATCTCTGTGAGGAGTCTGTGTGTAAAAGTGTCTGTGTGTAAAAGCGTCTGTGTGTAAAAGGGTCTAAAAGTCTCCGTGTAAGCGTCTGTGTGTAAAAGCGTCTGTGTGTAAAAGCGTCCGTGTGTAAAAGCGTTTGTGTGTAAAAGCGTTTGTGTGTAAAAGCGTCCGCGTGTAAAAGCGTCCGTGTTTGTGTAAAAGCGTCTGTGTGTACAGGAGTTTCTGTGTGTAACAGCCTCTGTGTGTAAAAATCTCTGTGTGTGAAAGCGTCTGTGTGTAAAAGCGTCTGTGTGTAAAAGCGTCTGTGTGTAAAAAGCTCTTGTGTGTGAAAGCGTCTGTGTGTAAAAGCGTTTGTGTGTAAAAGCGTTTGTGTGTAAAAGCGTCTGTGTGTAAAAGCGTCTGTGCGTAAAAAGGCGTCTGTGTGTAAAGGAGACTGTGTATAAAAGTCTCTGTGTAAAAGCGTCTGTGTGTAAAAGCGTCTGTGTGTAAAATCATCTGTGTGTAAAAGCGTCTGTGTGTAAATCGTCTGTATGTAAAGGCGTCTGTGTGTAAAAGCGTCTGTGTGTAAAAGCGTCTGTGAGAAAAAGCCTCTGTGTGTGAAAGCGTCTGTGTGTGAAAGTGTCTGTGTGTCAAAGCGTCTGTGTGTAAAAGCGTCTGTGTGTAAAAGTGTCGGTGTGTAAAAGTGTCTGTGTAAAAGGGTCTGTGCGTAAAAGCGTCTGTGTGTAAAAGCGTCTGTGTGTAAAAGCGTCTGTGTGTAAAAGCTTCTGTGTGCAAAAGCGTCTGTGTGCAAAGGCGTCTCTGTGTAAAAGGTTCTGTGTGTAAAAGCCTGTGTGTGTGAAAGTGTGTGTGTGTGTAAAAGCGTCTGTGTGTAAAAGCGTCTGTGTGTAAAAGCGTCTGTGGGTAAAAGCTTCTGTGCGTCAAAGTGTCTGTGTGTAAAGGAGTCTGTGTGTAAAAGCTTCTGTGTGTAAAAGCGTCTTTGTGTAAAACCGTCTTTGTGTAAAAGCGTCTGTGTGTAAAAGTCAGTGTAAAAGGTTCTGTACGTAAAAGCGTCTGTGTGTAAAGGAGTCTGTGTGCAAAAGCGTCTGTGTGAAAGGGAGTCTCTGCGTAAAAGGTTCTGTGTGTAAAAGCCTCTGTGTGTGAAAGTGTGTGTGTGTGTAAAAGGGTCTGTGTGTAAAAGCGTCTGTGTGTAAAAGGGTCTGTGTATAAAAGCGTCTGTGTGTAAAAGCGTCTGTGTGTAAAAGCGTCTGTGTGTAAAAGCGGTTGTGTGTAAAAATCTCTGTGTAAGCGTCTGTGTGTAAAATGTAAAAGCTTCTGTGTGCAAAAGCGTCTGTGTGTAAGGGAGTCTCTGTGTAAAAGGTTCTGTGTGTAAGAGCCTCTGTGTGTGACAGTGTGTGTGTGTGTAAAGGCGTCTGTGTGTAAAAGCGTTTGTGTGTAAAAGTCTCTGTGTAAGCGTCTGTGTGTAAAAGGGTCTGTGTGTAAAAGCGTCTGTGTGTAAAATCGTCTGTGTGTAAAAGGGTCTGTGTGTAAAAGCTTCTGTGCGTAAAAGCCCCTGTGTGTAAAGGAGTCTGTGTGTAAAAGCGTCTGTGTGTAAAAGCGTTTGTGTCTAAAAGTCTCTGTGCAAGCGTCTGCGTCTAAAAGCTTCTGTGCGCAAAAGCGTCAGTGTGTAAAGGAGTATCTGTGTAAAAGGTTCTGTGTGGAAAAGCGTCTGTGTGTAAAATCGTCTGTGTGTAAAAGCGTCTGTGTGTAAAAGTGTCTATGTGTAAAAGCGCCCGTGTGTAAAATCGTCTGTGTGTAAAAGGGTCTGTGCGTAAAAGCGTCTGTGTGTAAACGAGTCTGTGTGTAAAAGCTTCTGTGTGCAAAAGCGTCTGTGTGTGTGTAAGGGAGTCTCTGCGTAAAAGGTTCTGTGTGTAAAAGCCTCTGTGTATGAAAGTGTGTGTGTGTGTAAAGGCGTCTGTGTGTAAAAGTGTCTGTGTGTAAAAGGGTCTGTGTGTAAAAGGGTCTGTGTGTAAAAGCGTCTGTGTGTAAAAGGGTCTGTGTGTAAAAGTCTCTGTGTAAGGGTCTGTGTGTAAAAGCCTCTGTGTGTAAAAGTGTGTGTGTGTACAAGAAAAGCGTGTGTGTGTAAAAGCTTCTGTGTAAGCGTCTGTGTATAAAAGCCTTTGTGTGTGACAGTGTGTGTGTGTAAAAAAAAAAGCGTGTGTGTGTGTGTAAAAGCTTCTGTGGGTAAAAGTGTCTGGGTGTAAAAGTGTCTGTGTGTAAAGCCGTCTGTGTGTAAAAGCCTCTGTGTGTGAAAGTGTGTGTGTGTGTAAAAGCATCTGCGTGTAAAAGCGTCTGTGTGTAAAAGCCTCTGTGTATGACGCATGTTATTCCATTATGGCCCCAAAAAAAGGCTCGGTACCATGATGCCGTGTATGACACATGTTATTTCATTTTTTTAATGGACAAGCCTACATGAATGGCCCAAAAAAGATCGGTACCGTGATGCTGCTGTAAATCACACATGTGACTATACTTCACTAGTGAAATGTCTGCAAGCGTTTGCAAAAAAAAAAGGTCCAATACCATAATGCAGTAAATGACACACAATATCTCATTTTATTCTGGGAATAGCCCACATATCAAAAAAGCTCGGTACCATGATGCCGTGTATGACACATGTTATTTCATTTTAGTATGGAAAATCCCACATAAATGGCCCAAAAAAGCTCGGTACCATGATGCTGTGTATGACACATGTTATTTCATTTTCTTAATGGAAAATCCCAGATAAATGGCTCAAAAAGATCGGTACCATGATGCTGTAAATCACACATGTGACAATACTTCACTAGCGAAATGTCTGCAAACGTTTGCAATAGAGCTCCATGCCATCATGTGCTTGATGTCAAAAACAGAAAAGTTTGAGTTCAAGACCATAAAATGTCAGTGAGCGACACTCTTCAAAAGCTTCTGTGTGTAAAGGCCTCTGTGTGTGAAAGTGTGTGTGTGTGTAAAAGCATCTGCCTGTAAAAGCGTCTGTGTGTAAAAGCGTCTGTGTGTAAGAGGGTCTGTGTGTAAAAGCTTCTGTGTGTAAAAGGGTCTGTGTGTAAAAGCGTATGTGTGTAAAAAAAATCTGTGTGTAAAAGCGTCTGTGTGTAAAAGCGTCTGTGTAAGCGTCTGCGTGTAAAAGCTTCTGTGTGCAAAAGCGTCTGTGTGTAAAAGCGTCTGTGTGTAAGAGCGCCCGTGTGTAAAAGCGTCTGCGTGTAAAAGCTTCTGTGTGCAAAAGCGTCTGTGTGTAAGGGAGTCTCTGCGTAAAAGGTTCTGTGTGTAAAAGCCATTGATGGCAGTAGAGGTGCCCCAACTTCGGGCCGAAGACGCCGAAGACGCCGCAGACGCCCGAAGACGCCCGAAGACGCCGAAGACGCCCGAAGACGCCGAAGACGCCGAAGACGCCGAAGACGCCCGAAGATGCCCGAAGACGCCCGAAGACGCCGAAGACGCCCGAAGACGCCGAAGACGCCCGAAGACGCCGAAGACGCCCGAAGACGCCCGAAGACGCCGAAGACGCCCGCAGACGCCGAAGACGCCCGAAGACGCCGAAGACGCCCGAAGACGCCGAAGATGCCTGAAGACGCCGAAGACGCCCGAAGACGAAGAAGACGCCGAAGACGCCCGAAGATGCCGCAGGGTTCCGAACAGGAGTTTAGAAACTAACTCCAGATTTCATTTGTGTCGTTTTACTCCGACCTTGTCCGACCAACCCCAAACTTGTCATTTTGATTTATCTTGAGCCATGTTTTATCTACCTCCCTCGGCCCTACAACACAACACGTTCAACATATGAAGCAAGTTGACCTGTCGAGTCATTCTGCTAGTCATTATTATTATAGATTTAGTCCCTTCTCCACACAAAACACTATGTTCAACATATGAACCAACTTGGCATCTTGAGTCATGTTTGAAATGTCTTTTCCTTCCCCTACAACAAGACAATACGTTGAACAGATGAAGAAAGTCCGTATCTTGAGTCATGATTGAAATTTGCAACTCGTCGACCCTACAATGCAATACGTTCAACGTATGAAGAAAGTTGACATGTGTTTTTTTTTTGAAATTTATCCCCCCTGGACCCAACCAAGCAATATATACATTCTGGCCCCTACAAAACACAACGTTCAACATCGTTCAGCATGAACAAGCCATCTCGAGCCATGTTTAACAGGTCCTTTCCCTACCTTTGCAAACCAATACGTTGAATATATGAACAAAGTAGAAATGTCACGTCATCTTTATATTTTGAACTCCTGTCCTTCCCCTGAAAAACAATACCTCGAACACACCAAAGAATGGGCTTTCGACATTTACAATTCCGTGACCCTACGCTGCAATACCTTGAACATGTGATCATAGTTGGCATTTTGGGTCATTGTTATGATTTCTTCCCCTTCTTCCTGCCCTGTACAAACCGCTACATTCAACATATGACCCAACTTGGCATCTTGAGTCATTTTTGAAATATACCCCCCTCGACCTTTCAATATGTTGAACAAATGAAGTAAATTGACATGTCGAGTCCGCGTCATCAAGATTTTTTGCGTTTCCGATGTTACAAAACAATATGTTGAACCAACAAAATTGTCATCCCAAGTCATTTCTAAAATTTACCCGCCCCTCGACCCTACAAGGCAATACATTCAACATATTAAACCAACTTGGCAACTTGAGTGATGTTTAAAATGTTTTTTTCCTCCCCTGCATATAATTGCCTTGAATATTAAACACATTATGTCATTTTTTTGCACCCCCAAACCTCCACAAAACAATACATTTGAAAGCAGAACAGAACTTCTATCTTGAGTTCTTTTTCCCCACCTGCCAGGTGAAGGTTTCTAGATTTTAACAAAGGTGCGACTCCTTCCTCTCCTTCCTCTTCTTCCTCTCCTTCTCTTCTTCCTCGCCGGCTGTGGATGCAGTGGAGTGCGGCTCGACCTGAGTGCCATGCCTCGGGATCAGGATGCCTGGGCCCGACAGCCATATCGCGCGCTCAGGAGGCTGTGGAGCGCGCCTGGACCCGAACAAACAGAATGGCAGAATATACGTCAGATACAATGCCAGAAAGAATGTCAGATAGAATATCAGAATATATTTGCCATAAATACTTCCAGATGGTATGTCGTAAACTCTGTCAGAACATATAGCGCGTAAGAGAGGGGAGTAAACTTACCTTCCACCAGCCCTGCAAAGCAATAGGTTCAACATATATTATATGAACAGTTGACACATGTAGTTAGTGTTATATAGATTTTCAAACACATCCCCTACAAGGCATTCAACATGTAAACGAACTGGGCATCTTGAATCATGTTGAACATGTCTTTTCCTTCCTCACAAAACAACACGTTGAATTTATGAACAAAGTCAAAAGTGTTGATTTATTTTCACATATTTCAGCCCCCCTTTTCACATATTTCAGCCCCCCTACCCTACCCTACAAAAAAAAACGCTGAACAGACGAAGAAAATTGGCATTTTGAGTCAATTTTGTGATTTACCACCCATCGACCCTACCAGATAATATGTTGAACTTATGGAAAAAGTTGACTGGCTGAGTTCTTCTCATCGGTTTACCTCATCAAAACACTACGTTTAACATAGTTGAACATATGAACCAATGTAGCATCTTGAGTTGCGTTTAAAATATCCTTTCCTCCCTTGCAAAGCAACACGTTGACTATGAACACAGATAAAGGCTTAAGTCAGTTCATTTTTTTTATGCCTCCCCCCGCCACAAAACAATATGAATGTTGAACACATGAAGCAAATTGAGATCTTGAGCCAGTTTTGAAATTTATTCCCCCCCTGACCTTACCATGAAGTTGACATGTTGAGTCGGGTCATTGCTACAAACTTGCGCGCCCGTCCCCTACAAAACACTACGTCCGTTCAACATTAGAGCTAACTTGGCATCTCGAGTCATGATTCAAATGTCATTTCCTTTCCCTTCAACAAATCAATACGTTGAACAAATTAAGACAATTCATCTTGAGTCATTTTTGAAAGTTACGACCCCCCGACCCTACACAGCAGTACGTTAAACATGTAAAGAAAATTGGCATATTGAGTCATTTTGTAGATTTCGTCGCTGTCCTCTTGAAAGCACTACGTTCAACATATGAACCAACGTGGCATCCTGAGTCATGTTCAAAAAGTATTCTTTATTCCTCAAAAATCAATACGTTGAATATACGTATGAACAAAGTTGAAATGTTGATTTGTCTTGAAACATTTCACCCCCCCCTCCCTTTCCAATTCATACATTGAACACATGAAGAAAAATGGCATCTTGAGTCATTTTGCAATTTACAACCCCTCGACTGACCCTACAAAATAAAACCTTTTGCATACCGAGAAAGCTTACATGTCGCGTCAGTTTTCAAATTTACCCTTCTCGACCCTACAAAGAAAATAGTTGAACATTTTGGAATTTTACCAACACCTTGACCCTACAAATCAATACATTCAACATATGGATCAAGTTGACATGTTGATTCATTCTATTGGATTTACCTGCCCTGTCCCCTACAAAACATTTTGTTTAACGTATGAATCAGCATGGCATCTTGACTTATGTTAAAATGTTCATTGCCTTCCCCTGCAACAAAACCATACATTGAACACATGAAAAAAAAGGAATCTTGAGTCATTTTGGAAATTTACAGCCCATCGACCGTACAAAACAACACGCATCGACCTCAACATATCATCCTCTCGTCGACTCCGCAAAATCAAAGCAGTACCTGTAATATATGAACAAAGTTGACATGTTGAGTCGTTGTTTTGAAGTTTGAATGTACTCCCTCCATCTCCCCCCATCCCTTTTAAAACGCTACGCTCAACATATCAACCAATTTGGAATCTTGAGTCATTGTTATGTTTTTTCCCCGCTGTCCCCTACCAAAACACTACGTTCAACATATAAAACAACTTGGCATCATGAACCATGTTTAAGGTGTCTTTTCCTTCCCCTGGAAATTATTACGTTGAATATATGAACAAAATGAAATGTAATCATTCTTATATTCGTTAATTCCTTCTCCTACAGCAAGCCAATATGTTGAACATGTGAAGAACATTGGCATCTTGAGCCATTTTTGAAACTTATCTCCCTCGACCCTACAAAGCAATAGGTTTAGCATATGAGTCATTGTTATAGATTTAACATGATTTAACCCCTTCGACCTCACAAAGCAATACGCTCAACAGAATATGTGGGGTAAATTGTTGAACTTTCCCGCCCATCCACCCTACAAACCAATACGTTCAACACACGAACAAAGGTCAGAGACAGGGGCGTCAAAACGGACAAAGATCTCCTGTGGCAGTCGGTCAGGGGTCGTCAGGAGTCGTCAGGGGTCGTCAGGGGTCGTCAGGGGTCGTCAGGGGTCGTCAGGAGTCGTCAGGGGTCGTCAGGGGTCGTCAGGGGTCGTCAGGGGTCGTCAGGGGTCGTCAGGGGTCGTCAGGGGTCGTCAAGGGTCGTCAGGGGTCGTCAGGGGACGTCAGGGGTCGTCAGGGGTCGTCAGGGGTCGTCAGGGGTCGTCAGGAGTCGTCAGGAGTCGTCAGCGATCGAGGTCGTCAGAGTCGTCATCGTCAGGAGTCGTCAGTCGTTGAGTCGTCAGCGATCGAGGGCCGTCAGAGGCGTCAAAGCCTCTGTCTGTGAAAGTGTGTTGTGTGTTGTCTGTGTGTGTCTGTGTGTGGTCTGGGGGTGTCTGTGTGTGTGTCTGTGTTGTGTGTGTGTCTGGGTGTGTGTGTCTGTGTGTCTGTGTCTCTGTGTCTCTGTGTGTCTGTGTCTCTGTGTGTCTGTGTCTCTGTGTGTGTCTCTGTGTCTCTGTGTCTCTGTGTCTCTGTGTCTCTGTGTCTCTGTGTGTCTCTGTGTCTGTGTGTCTGTGTGTCTGTGTGTCTGTGTCTGTGTGTCTGTGTCTGTGTGTCTGTGTCTGTGTGTCTGTGTCTCTGTGTGTCTGTGTCTCTGTGTGTCTGTGTGTCTGTGTGTCTGTGTCTCTGTGTCTCTGTGTCTCTGTGTCTCTGTGTCTCTGTGTCTCTGTGTCTCTGTGTCTCTGTGTCTCTGTGTGTCTGTGTGTCTGTGTGTCTGTGTGTCTGTGTGTCTGTGTGTCTGTGTGTCTGTGTGTCTGTGTGTCTGTGTGTCTGTGTGTCTCTGTGTCTGTGTGTCTCTGTGTCTGTGTGTCTCTGTGTCTGTGTGTCTCTGTGTCTGTGTGTCTCTGTGTCTGTGTGTCTCTGTGTCTCTGTGTCTGTGTGTGTGTGTCTGTGTCTCTGTGTCTGTGTGTGTGTGTCTGTGTGTGTGTCTGTCTGTGTGTGTGTGTGTGTCTGTGTGTGTGTCTGTCTGTGTGTGTGTCTGTCTGTGTGTCTGTGTGTGTGTCTGTCTGTGTGTCTGTCTGTGTGTCTGTCTGTGTCTGTCTGTGTGTCTGTCTGTGTCTGTCTCTGTCTGTCTCTGTCTGTCTCTGTCTGTCTCTGTCTGTCTGTCTCTGTCTGTCTGTCTCTGTCTGTCTGTCTCTGTCTGTCTGTCTGTCTGTCTGTCTGTCTGTCTGTCTGTCTGTCTGTCTGTCTGTGTGTCTGTGTGTGTGTGTGTGTGTAAAAAAGAAAAGCGTATGTGTGTAAAAGTGTCTAGCGTCTGTGTGTAAAAGTGTCTGTGTGTAAAAGCGTCTGTGTGTAAAAGCGTCTGTGTGTAAAAGCGTCTGTGTGTAAAAGTCTCTGTATGTAAAAGCTCCTGTGTGTAACAGCTTCTGTTCAAAAGCGTCTGTGTGTAAAAGGTTCTGTGTGTGAAAAACAAAACGAAGGATTCGATGCAAACTAGTGTCTTAAGAATTGTACTTGTAATATACTGTCTTGATAATACTTGTCTCGCCTGCCTATAATACATCTTTAATATATTGTCTTGCAATATAGTGTCTCAATACTAACAACAGAAGACCCTGCTCTCTCTCTCCCCCTCTCTCTCTCTCTCTCTCTCTCTCTCTCTCCCTCCCTCTCTCTCTCTCTCTCTCTCTCTCTCCCTCTCTCCCCCTTTCTCTCTATCTATGTCTCTCTGCGGGTGCAAGACAAGTGTCACATGATGCCCTTTATAACAAGAAGCACAGTGCATATGCATGGGTTGTCACATGTATCCTCTTCTTAATCAATCTTACTTTTCACAACCTATCCCTCCATAGCTCATATAAAATTCACCAACCATTCACCGACTATTTTTTACTACTCAGAGCTGCTTGAAAAACGTGTTTTTCGCTCTCGGGCCAACCGTCGTCTAGTTGGATAATTAATTGGTGCGCTGGATCTCTCAGTCCCGTTTCCCTGAAAATGTTAAATTCGACACGTGGGCCCTGCCTCCAATCTTGATCTCCAGTGTCACTCGAGCCTTGCCACCCCACCTCTCCTACTTTCACCTTCTCCAGTCATCTCAAGCTCCATCGACCAATGGGGCGTGTTTTTCCTCGAGGACTTCTTGGCACAGCAACGGGACCATTGTATCAAGGCCTTTGGCAACCTGTGCACAAAGATGCATGACTATGCTTTCACCTCTGTGACGCTGACAGATCACCCGGAGTATGGATTTCAACATGGTCTGACGAATGCACTCGACGCTACGGGAACACCCTTGAAGGAAAAGGATGCGCAAGAGGCACTGAAATTCTTGTCAACGAGCGGCAAGGACTTTGAGCTGGTTCTTGTGGAGACAGACTTTTATGACTCTTGACTTTGTTGATCGGAGACCTGTTGTCTGTGTGTGCGCGCGCGTGCGTTTGATATATCCTTCCTTAATTAATGTGACAAATAATGGCAGATCTTGATTAGTGTAGGGGGGGCCCCAAACATTTGAAGGGGTCTGTTTAGGCTTGTCACTTTTGAGGGGCCAATGTTTGATCATGATCTTAAGTAATTAAGTATTTCAATTGTTTCAATTTACCTTCAATTTACTTTCAATTTACTTTCAATTTACTTTCAATTTACTTTCAATTGATAATCGTAGAGCCTCGCACCCCGGCGATACCAGAAGGGTTTTGTATTAATAGTAGTGTGAGCGTTGCTGTTGTGCATGTGCTTTGCACGGGATCGCAGGTGCAGAGAACAGTGTGATGTTCTTTTCATTTCTCAGCTTGTAACCATCTTACCACACATCGTTTTGTCGCAGTTTTGTGCTTGTTATTTTTCTTGCTCTTGTTCTTGTTTTTTTCTTGATCTTGTTCTTGTTCTTCTTGTTGTTGTTGTTGTTGTTGGTTGCTGGTTGTTGGTTGTTGGTTGTTGGTTGGTTGTTGGTTGTTGTTGGTTGTTGTTGGTTGTTGTTGGTTGTTGTTGGTTGTTGTTGGTTGTTGTTGGTTGTTGTTGGTTGTTGTTGGTTGTTGTTGGTTGTTGTTGGTTGTTGTTGGTTGTTGTTGGTTGTTGTTGGTTGTTGGTGTTGGTGTTGATGTTGTTGTTGTTGTTGTTGTTGTTGTTGTGGTTGTTGTTGTTGTTGTTGTCGTTGTCGTTGTCGTTGTTGTGGCTGTTGGTGTGGTTGTGGTTGTTGTGGTTGTGGTTGTTGTGGTTGTGGTTGTGGTTGTGGTTGTTGTTGTTGTTGTTGCTGTTGCTGTTGCTGTTGCTGTTGTTGCTGTTGCTGCTGTTGCTGTTGCTGTTGCTGCTGTTGCTGTTGCTCTTGCTCTTGCTCTTGCTCTTGCTGTTGCTGTTGTTGTTGTTGTTGTTGTTGTCGTCGTCGTCGTCGTCGTTGTTGTTGTTGTTGGCGGTGGTGGTGGTGGTGGTGGCGTTGGTGTTGGTGTTGGTGTTGGTGTTGGTGGTGTGGTTGGTGTGGTTGGTGTGGTTGGTGTGGTTGGTGTGGTTGGTGTGGTTGGTGTTGCTGGTGTTGTTGGTGTTGTTGGTGTTGTTGGTGTTGTTGCTGCTGCCCCTGCAGTTTGTTTCTCAATCTCGTAGTGGCCGAACATCGTCAAATAGGTGGTGTGCTCACGGTTTTTGATGTTTTTGAAACTCTCGAAGCAAAAAAACACCGTCAGCACCGATGTTTTTTGTGCCTCGGAAGACCAAAACCACGGTATTTACGATTTTACGGTGTTTTTTTTGCCTCACGGTATGTACACTGTTTTTGGGTGCCAGTGCCTAGCAGAAACACTGGTATTTACGCATATGTACGCAGTTCAAACCATGTTGCAAGATGTAGTTTCAATGTGCCAAAAGGACAAAAACACTGTATTTTACGATGTTTTTGCTTCCCGGCGCAGCAAAAAAATCGTCAAAAAGTTGTTCAAAAACGGTCCAAAATCAAATTCCAAAAGCATCTTGCCAGTAGTGCCACACAAGGCGGTGGCGGAAGTTTCAAAATAGGAAACCTATAGGAGAGGTTGGTTGTTGTGAATCACGGATGGCAGAGCGAATCCATTGATGGACCGAAGGTGGTTAGGGTGGTGTTCCTTGAAGTGGCTGCAATGGTTGCAGTGGTCACCTCACCACAACTGTTGGATGCGGTGTGGTGTAGTGCAGTTGTAGTTGTAGTGTAGTGTAGTGGAGTTGTAATTGTAAGTTGTCATTCTAATGTGATGTCATTAGCGTAGTGTAGTCGCAGTTGAAGTTACAGTTGTAGTTGTGGTGTGGTGTAACAATTAGTGAAGTATATTACAGTATATTGTAGTGTACTGTAGCGTTGTGTACTGTAGTGTGGCATAGAGTAGTGTAGTGTAGTGTAGTGTAAAGTAGTGTAGTTGTAGCTGTGGTGTTTTGTAATTAGTGTAGTGTAGTGTAGTGCAATGTAGTGGCAGTTGTAAATTGTAGTTGCAGTTGTAGGTGTAGTGTTGTGTAGTGTTGTGTAATGTAGTGTACTAGTTGTAGTTGCATGTATATTTGTATATAGTTGTAGTGCGCTGCAGTGTAATTAGTGTAGCGCAGTGTAATTTAGTGTAGTCGTAATTGTAGTTGTAGATTTGGTAGTAGCAGTAGTAGCAGTAGTAGCAGTTGTAGTAGTAGCAGTTGTAGTAGTAGCAGTAGTAGTAGTAGTGATAGTAGTAGTAGTGATAGTAGTAGTAGTAGTAGTAGTAGTAGTAGTAGTAGAGTAGTAGTACTAGCAGTAGTAGTAGTAGTAGTAGTTGTTGTTGTTGTAGTTGTTGTTGTTGTTGTTGTTGTCGTTGTTGTCGTTGTTGTCGTTGTTGTTGTCGTTGTCGTTGTTGTGGTAGTAGTGGTAGTAGTAGTAGTTGTTGTTGTTGTTGTAGTTGTACTAGTTGTACTAGTTGTAGTAGTTGTAGTAGTTGTGTAGCTGTAGTAGAAGTAGTAGAAGTAGTAGTTGTAGTAGTTGTAGTAGTTGTAGTAGTTGTAGTAGCTGTGTGGTTGTAGTTGTTGTGTAGTGTAGGTGTAGTTGTAGTTGTAGTTGTAGTAGTAGTAGTTATAGTTATAGTTGTAGTTGTCTGTCTATCTACCTAATCTTTCTATCTATCTACCTATCCATGTATCTATCTGTCTATCTATCTATCTCTCTATCTGTCTATCTATCTGTCTATCTGCAAGCTTGAAAACGAAGCTATTCTGCGAGACATCCTCAGTTTTTGAACTTGACAACATCAAAAACGCAGCAGTTCAGCGAGACTTCCTCAATTTTTGAACTTGACAATGTTAAAAACGAAGCAATCCTGCGAGACTTCCTCATTTGAGTGCAGAGCTGACGGCCTCGTACCAATGCGTTTTGCGATTTTTCCACTCCATCTGTCTAAACTACTGCGCCTGCCACGAAAAAGTGATGCCAGGTCATACGAAGTGCTGCGCCTGTCACGCAAAATCATCTCAGCAAACCTGAAGATTTCAGGCTCCAAAATGCAAACCCGTCTCAGGAAATCAGAGCCCGGACCTCCGAACAGCTCTGATGAAGATGTCTCTTGTATTGCGCGTGCCACGGAAAATGCATCTTTGCAGATCCTCTTCAAATGTCCCACGCCTGCCATCCTTTTTGGAAATGCGACAAAACCCTCACGTTTTGCTCACTTTTGGCACGGTCCACAATCCCTTGCGCCTGCCACGCGAAACCACATCTGAACGTCCAAAAGTGGTCCGAACCCCTGGTGCTTTTAACATTTTGACTTCGAAATGTGCCTCGCGCATCTTCGCGCCACAACGGCATGCACTTTTTCGACATCGCAACTTCTAAAAGCGGTCCGGAGCTGGTGTGTTTTGTGCATTTTGACTTCGAAATGTGCTTCGCGCCACAACGGCGTGCACTTTTTCGACAGCTCAACTTCCAAAAGTGGTCCGAACCTGGTGTGCTGTGCTTTGTACATTTTGACTTCGAAATGTGCTTCGCGCCACAACGGCGTGCACTTTTTCGACAGCTCCACGTCCAAATGCTCCGAACCTGATGTGCTTTGTACATTTTGACTTCGAAATGTGCTTCGCGCCACACCGGCGTGCAATTTTTCATCTCTCATATGCCCAGCGGGCTCCGCACCTGCCGCTTTAGCGACCCTACTTTTCGACCCCCTAGAGCCACAAATCATTGGAAAAGCACAGAGTTTCGCGACTTTCCTATCTTTTCGGGCACCTGGATCTTCTTTCTTCTGAGGCTTTCTCTTTTTGAT